ACAGGGAGGCGGACAGTCTTTCCACCGTTACGGCGGCGATGACAACTCTAAGAGCAGCCACACGAAAAGAAAGGAGGAGACCTCGAGATTCGCACCTGCCCTGCATTAAAAGGCACATTTTATGACCAGAATTTGGTACACCAAAATCAGCACCAGTTTTCCAATCGCCGAAGGTCAAGCAAAGTTTAAAGCAGCCACACGAAAAGAAAAGCCGTGTTTTGCTGCAGAATGTGGCTTCGGCCGCTTTGGGCACCCATAGGCACCGGATGGTTTAGAGCAGGCACACGAAAAGAACGGCCCTGTTTTGCTGCAGAATGTGGCCCGGACCTGCTTGGGCACACACGAGCACTCGAGGGTCCATTTTCTGATCCGAGCTCCGAGGGACGGAGTTTAGGGATTGGGAAGGCGGCTAAGAGCAGCCACACGAAAAGAACGGCCCTGTTTTGCTGCAGAATGTGGCCCCGACCTGCTGGGGCACACACGAGCACTCGAGGGTCCATTTTTTGATCCGAGCTCCGAGGGACGGAGTTTAGGGATGGGGAAGGCTGCTAAGAGCAGCCACACGAAAAGAACGGCCCTGTTTTGCTGCAGAATGTGGCCCCGACCTGCTTGGGCACACACGAGCACTCGAGGGGCCATTTTTTGATCCGAGCTCCGAGGGACGGAGTTTAGGGATGGGGAAGGCGGCTAAGAGCAGCCACACGAAAAGAACGGCCCTGTTTTGCTGCAGAATGTGGCCCCGACCTGCTTGGGCACACACGAGCACTCGAGGGTCCATTTTTTGATCCGAGCTCCGAGGGACGGAGTTTAGGGATGGGGAAGGCAGCTAAGAGCCGGCACACGAAAAGAACGGCCCTGTTTTGCTGCAGAATGTGGCCCCGACCTGCTTGGGCACACACGAGCACTCGAGGGTCCATTTTTTGATCCGAGCTCCGAGGGACGGAGTTTAGGGATGGGGAAGGCGGCTAAGAGCAGCCACACGAAAAGAAAGGGGGGCACCTCGAGATTCGCAGCCGGCGTAGTCTAAAAGGCACATTTTATGAACAGAATTTGTCACTTGAAAACCACCAGCAATTTTCCAGAATTCTGGAGGCAGAATGTGGAAAATCTAAAAATTAGAGCTGGTTGTCCTTTTCCGAAGAGGACAAGCGCGACTAAATGAAGAAAACCTTGATTTTAGAGCTGGTTGTCCTTTACCGAAAAGGACAAGCGCGACTTAAATTTAGAAAACCGGTTTAGGGATGAGGTAGGTGGCTAAGAGCGGCCGCATGAAAAGATGGTTTAGAGCAGGCACACGAAAAGAACGGCCTTGTTTTGCTGCAGAATGTGGCCCCGACCTGCTTGGGCACACACGAGCACTCGAGGGATCCGATGGTTAGAAACACCGGTTTAGGGCTATAGATAACTCTATATCTTACGGAATGCTTGCAATCAGTTATGAGCTTACTAGTAAATGGAAGTAATTATGTCTGACTGTGGATGTGCAGGCATGCAGTTCGTGTGCAGAGCATGCTGCTCAAAGGCATGGAGTCAGGGCATTCAGGTCCGGTTTGGTCCAGTTGCTAGGGCTCCAGACTCATTTCTCTCAGAATAGCTTAGAGTTGAACAGATTCTTTTCACAGATCAGGTAGCATCTGACAGTTCGTTTCGTGAGAGTTTGCGCTGCCGGGAAAACGCAGTCGGGTCGGGCATTGAGTTCTTGCCTGCCCAACGGGCAGGTTATGAGCCCAAGTGGTTCGTAACACTGCGCCTCCGCCATGGAATCCGCTGGGTCTGCTGATGAGCCGCAGTACCAGCAGGGGCATGTAAGACCTGATACCCTCTTGAATCCGAACAACCTGGAGGGCTCAGGCGGACCGGAATCCCTTGGAGAGAGGAGTTTTTTCCAGGAGGCTTCCAGAATCATCGATGATGGTGGTAACACTGGTGCTGGACAGAGGACGCCTGAGCAGCAAGCGCGTGATGTGCTGACCGGTGTTGAAGGGCTTGAGCCTGAGTATGAGTTCGAGTCTGTCGAGGGAGTAGCGTCTCCAGAAGGGGATGGTCGAGAGGAGCAGTCTCCCGGGGTCCAGACCGCTGGTCGGGATCAACGACAATTTCAGAATCCTGAAATGGGTCTACAGCCTGGTGTGAATTATGGAGAGGTCTTGATCAATGGTGTGGTGCCTGATGTGGGTCATGCTTCAGGGGGACAAGGCCGTGAACCTGAAAGGGGCGGAGTTCTTCCGTTGCAAGCTTTGTTTCAAGGCCAGCTGGGACAGCAGTCTGATTCGCAAGGGAGAGTGGAACTCCTGGAACGGCTGGTACACCAACTTATGGATCAGAATGAGCTGCTGAGGCGTGAGATCGGAGATGTGGCTTCGAGGAGCTCAGCTGAGTCGGGCCAGAGCGGTAGAGAGGTTCCTAAGGGAGCTACTGCTATCGGGAAAGCGGGTAGCCGAGTAGAAGATGTAGTTCCTGGTCGCGAGGGTAGTGCAGGCGTAGCAAGGAACACTGAGCCAACCTGGAATCCCAGTTTGGCCCAGGTAGCTGAGGGAAGAGGGTTTGGAGCTCTTGGTCGTAAGGCTAAGCTTGGGAAAGGTATAGGTAATCAGGGTGGTATAGACCTGAATGCCGGCCGCTCCAGAGTCTTCAGTCCGCCGTGGACGTCCTTCCAGCAATCCCGAGATGAAGCTATGCCAGCCGCAATGCCAAGTGCCGGGCCAGGGGATAACGTTCTTCGAGCTTCCGTTCAACAGTCCCGAGATGATGTTATGCCTACTGCAATGCCAAGCGTTGGGCCAGGGGATAAGTTTCTTCAGGCAACCCGTGCCATCCAGAATCTATCCTTGGAAGAAGGTCCAGGTGAGTTGTCTGCTGTGCACCCTTCCTGGTTTCAGGTTGATCTAGATCTTCAGGGGTCGAGGCCTATGGAGGTTGAGGATAGTGTTGGGGTCCAGCCTGCTACGCAGTCAGCTGTGCAGCGGACTCACTCGCGCCAGCAAGATAGGCAAATGTATCCTAGTCCCGAAGGAACTGATCAGGATCCAAGGGTCCAGCCTGTGATGCAGTCAGCTGTGCAGCGGACCCAATCGCGCCAGCGGCAGGATGGAAATGTAGATGGGAGTGGGTTAGCAGGTAGGAAGGTACAGGTTTGGATAAACGGAGTGTTGAGGGAAGGGGTTTATGATCATCAGGGTCAGGTGATCTTGACTCCAGAAGCACCTAAGTACTATGCTCTTGAGAGTAGTGACGTGGTTGCCCCTCCTCCTGTAGAGCCTGAAGGTACATTTGTGCCACCTGCGCTTTCACCTCCGTGCAATGTAGGGAGGCCGCGAAAACCTCAGGGCCCGTGGAGCCCACAAGCAGCGTCTCCATTTCGTACTGCCGATGGTAGTCCTCCACCACCGCCACCACATCCCCCTGTTCCTGTAGATAGGCCGAGTAGGACCGTAAGGAATGCGGAGAGGTCTCCGACTGGTGTAAGGCAGGGATACTCAAGGAAGTTTAGTCGGTCACCTCAGCCAAGTCCTTCCAGGATTGTGCCTCAGTCAGGGTCTCATCCTAATGCGTCCCCGGCCACGCCGGGGGGAACGCGACTGCCGCCAGGGCCGCCTCCCAGGACACCTGTAGTGGGCGAAACTCAGGCTGCTCAGGGCAGTGGTCAGGGTGATGGGCTTTTGGAATTTAGTTCAGGGCTGAAAGACTTTGTACCGGGGGATCGTACGTATTGGGAGTTGCCGGTTTTAGCTGCGCCAAGTTCTGAGGTGAACCCAGCCATGCGATGCAACGACTGGATATATAAGATCGGTCCTCTCATGAGCGATCTAGCGCCGAGGGCAAACATTTGGTGGGCGAGGGTTTTGAAGGAATCCCAGGATGCCTATCAGCAGTGGTCGAGTGCCAAACCGTTGGATCGTGCCAAGATTGTCGGGAAGCCAAGTAGCACTCTTCAGGGAGACATGTTCACCAGGATTGAGTCGAGGGGGGTTGCTATGCTCTCTAAAGCCCTCCCTAATGTTGCATATGAACAAGCTCTTTCCAGTCGCAACGTCTCGTGTGTAGGACTGTTGTTTCTCACGCTTAGAATCTATCAACCAGGTGGTCTAAACGAGAGGGCTGAGTTGCTGCGTGGCCTGACATCACTGCAGGTGTTCGATACTGCTGTGTCGGCAGTTGGAGGGCTTCAGAAATGGTTCAGGCATCTGGAGCGTGCTAATACCATGTCGATCTCAGTTCCGGATAGCTCTTTGCTACTGCAAGGCGTGGGCAAGAGCGTGCATACCTTGTTGCAGTCTCATCCTGCACTGTCCTTCCGAATGCACAGTGTTCGCATGCAGCTGCAGTTGGATACAGTTCCGACTCATGAGCGCGTGGAAGAGTACGTAACTACTCTCCTAGCTGAGTTTGAGCTGTTAGCCGTTGCAATGCCGGATACATCAGCGAAGCGTCCTCGTGTAGCAGCAGTGGATAAAGGAAAGGGTGGAAACAAGTCGTCTGAAAAGGGTTCCGAGGCCCAGGGAACTCCCGAGAAGCCGAAGCCCGAAGCCAAATCCAAGCTTCCATGTCGAGGGTGGGTCACAGATGCCGGGTGTAAGTATGGGAAAACATGTAACTTCTCTCATTCGGCAGATCGCCCAGGGAAATGCTGGACATGCGGAGGGTCACATGCGAAGGCTGAGTGTACAGCTCCGGGAGGGGGTAATGCCCAGAAACCTGCTGCAACAGAGACTCCAAAAGGGAAGGGAAAACCGTCAGGGGGTGAGCCGAAGGGTGGGAAGCCCAACCAGGGTGCACCTAAGGGACCAAAGGGTTAGGGAGGAGCACAGAAGGGAGCTAGTGGGCTTTCTGAAGATGCAATAAAAGAGGCAGCCCAGCTGCTTCAAAGCTTGAGGCTTGCGGCGATCAGGCCATACATTCGTTCTGCGACGGAAGTGCTCTGTAAAGCTCAACAAGGCGAGCCGCGTGGTCTGATAGATGGCGGTGCCACTGCATGTTTAAGGACAGCTTTGAGTCATGAAATGGAGATGCCAAGTGTTCTAGTCCGACTAGCATGTGGCGAATGCTCGCTGTTGGTAAATCCCCAAGGAACGCTTTTGAGCAAGACGTTTGTGAGTCCGATCCTTTCTGTTCGGGCGTTGCTAGCTCTTGGCTACAAGGTGGAGTGGGATTCTTCTCGTTGTAGAATTTGGCATCCTTCGCGGGGTGTATTGGATACGGATGTTAGCACTGGTTGCCCGGAAATCTCTGAGCAGAAGGCCTTGGAACTTATCGGGGAATATGAGGCTTTGGTGCAGCGCGGGGAGAGTCGTTGTGCACGACTGCACTGTTTGATGAAGGATTTAGCTGGATTGAGTAATGCTGAGCTTGCTGATGTGATTGTTCGTCGGGATGTGCACTCAGACGCAGCTGTAAAGAAGCTGGTTGAGAAAGTGTTTGGGGATACGCCTAGTGATTTGAGGGAGCAGGCGGTTGCATCTGTGCAAGATCCAGCTGGTGAGTCTTTCACATGGAACAGAAGGATGCGGAGGAAGTTTGAGCGTGCGAAAGGCCTAGTTGTTCATCTGTTCTGTGGTGAGGGCAGAAAGGCTTTTGATCGAGTGTCCGAGAAACACGGGCTAATCCATGTGCCGGTTGACACAGCCGAAGACCTGTTGGCGGAAGGTACCTATCAGTATTTGCTCAGGCAGGCTGCTAAAGGAAGAGTTCGTGCAGTGATCGGAGCCCCTCCTGGCAGGACATTTGCGCCGTGTCGGTACTCAGTAGGTGAGCAAGGCTCAGGTGTGAAGCCTCTTCGAGTAAGGGGGGAGAGTCTTGGTGAATACGGTGTTGGGGAGTTGACATGTCAAGAGCTGGCACAACGCAGGATAGATGATGTGTTGATGATGAGGATGATGGTGCTGATGCTGGTGGCGCAGGGTTCGAATGAGGCTCTGAAGGAGCCGGCCCCACACTGCCTGGTGGAACATCCTGAGGACCCTGAGGATGGGGGTATGGTAGGTGTTGCCCTGAGGGAGCAGACGAAACCTGAGCTCGGGTACGCGTCGTTCTGGGCCACACCAGAGTGGCAAGCGATATCAAAGGAGGTGCAGCTGTCACCTACCTCCTTTCATCAAGGACCGTTGGGGCACCAGAAGGTAAGGCCAACCACCATTTATACAAACATGTATCCGGATCCTTTGCTTGTGGACTGTTGGGATGATGGGTTCCAGTCTCGTCCGAAGGTCGGGGGTAAGGGGTTGTCTTGGTCTCAGTGGAGCCCAGGGCTTTGGATTGCTGTGACTAACATGTTGGCGAGAGCACTTGCGGAGCAGGTGCCGAAGGGACTCAGAGCGATGGATTCTGGTTTCATAGAGCACCTTCGCAATAATCACACGCCATTTCGCAGAGATTGCAAGCAGTGCATTCGCGGCGGGGCCAGACACAAGCAGCATAGGAAAGTCCTTGCCCCACAGGGTTGGTGCATGAGTATAGATACGGCCGGACCATTTCCAAAGGGGCTAGATGAGAATACCACCGCTGCCAAATACCTGATTGTTGCAGTTCTGTCAGTTCCTATTCTGTCGGTAAAAGGGGAAAGTGTGGATGAACCGGCGGATAGGGACCCACAGCTTGATCTTCAAGAGTTTGCGGAATCTCTAGATGATCGTGAATGGTTTGTAGAAAGGGGTATGGAACTGGAGGAACCACTCCCTGAGCCTACACATCGTGAAATTACTGAGTCGAAGGACTCCTGGGCTACATGGGAGGCAGTAGTTCGGAAAAGTAGAAAGGATTGGTTAGAAGAAGCCAAAACTCAGTTTCTTCCGAAAGTGGAGATGATAGACTTCGTATACACTGAAGCTGTGGATTCGAAGAAGCAACAAGTCGTTGCAGGTGCCATTAGCCGTATGTACGCACGAGCAATATCAGACGGGTTGAGCGTCCAACGTATCCATACGGACAGGGGAAAGGAGTACCGGAACTCCGCATTGGATGCCTTCTGTCAAAAGCTCGGAGTTCATCATACATATGCAATGGCAGAGGAACACCAGACCAATGGTCGCGCGGAGGGGGCTATATTGAAGATCAAAAATCGAACGAGGGCGATCCTCGAAGGATCAGGGCAAGATGATCTTTCAGAGTGGCCATTGGCGGCGAAATTGGCGTCGTATCACTTGAGATCTGAAGCTCGCAAGAAGTTGCGGATGCCGTGTGAGCCGACAGTACCTTTCAATACGGAAGTTGAAGTCTTGCAGAGGTCGTGGCGGCGTGGAGTTTGGAGTTCGAGAACTACCACGGCTGTCACAAAATGTCCCTCTTCGGAAACTTCGAGGGGGTGGGTGGTGAAAACGGCCGAGGGCCAGCTGTTCACCACCAGCAGGCTTTTCCCTTCCATGGATGGCAACAGGATACGATTTAAATACGAAGGTACCCCATTGGATTTGGATGCACCGTCAGTTAGGATTCGAGAGAAGGGCAGGGTTCGCAAGCTTGGCTCTTCAGTGGATGGTGTTGTGTCTAAGAATCCAGCAGAGCGTTTGGCAAGGTCCTTGTATGAAGCAGGCAGTTGGGAGCCAAAGGACGTGGCGTCCCTTGCAGTTGCCATGTCGAAGCACGTGACTTCCAATAGTAGGGCTGTGGTCAAGGATGAGTTTGAGGCAAGGAAACTTGAGTGCAATTTCATGAGTGGTGCTTTTACGTTCAGCGGGATGACTGGGGTTCGTAGTGATACGTCTGATTTCCCATGGATTACTCGGTATCTGTGTGGCTATCTGGCCAAGCATTCTGATGAGCCGTTTGCGGGAGTGGGTTTGGCATTGAACACTGATCATGTGCTACACCGAGATTTGCACAATCAAAGGGAGGTTGCTAACATTGTCCTGCCCATTGTTACTTCCGGGGGAGGCTTGTGGATTCAGAGTCGCACAGGACTTGATCCAGTGGCTCCGACATCAGGAGTTACGGAGTCTAGGATGCTGGAAAATGGGACTGAGGTTCAGGGTCGCACTTATGTGTATGAGTCACACAAGCCGGTTGTGTTCCATCCTCATGTATGGCATGAGTCCAAGAAGGGTGATGGGCCTCAGCTCCTACTGTTTGGGTTCACAGCTCGCCATCTGCACAAACTAAAAGAGCCTGAGAGGAAGCGACTATGGGAAACGGGATTCACGTATTTGCCGGGAACCAAATCAGAGTACTGGGGCTTCAAGACGTCTTCAAACACTTTGGTTCGGTATCATCCTGTCCCTCGTCGTCAGATGTTTGTCCCGTCGGATCAAGATTGGCTTCCGTTTCCGCGGTCGTGCTTCGGAGACTTGAGATTGTGCCTGCAACAGTTTCAGGGCCAAGAACCGGTTCGCTCATTCCAGTGCTGGCGCAAGGGCCGAGGCCGGGCGCCGGCCAGTAAATGGACGGGGTGGTCTGCTTTCCCTTTGCATCTCAGTGACCCAGACAACGGTCGGTCTGGGGGGGGGATCCTCCTGAGGCAAATTTCGATGCAAATTTCGATGCAAATTCTGAGGTTAAGATTGGGGCAAAAGCAAGCTTCAAGCGAGGTGAACCTGGGGATGGGAACCAAGGCTGTGGCACTAAAGACTCAGTGCTAGGGTCTGGCAAGGTCTCAGGGGTGATGTCTGAAAGGAACTTAGCCGCTTCAACGCCAGGGGTGGTAGAGGTTCCACATGAGGGTGAAAGGTTGTCGATGGTTTGGTGTCCGGCATGTGATGCAGTCGGGTGGGCAGCGGACTCAATCGCGCCACCACAAGCTACAGGCTGTATGCAGGCTGCCAATGGGGAGCAGCCGCAGGGATACAAAACGGATCAGGCAACAAGTAGCTGTATAGGTTCCCCTGAGTTAGTGCCGCAACCGGCCAGACAGCGAGGAAGG